ATACAGTTATATATTGTTAAAAAAAACCCAAACAACAAACCCCCTCTTTCTATAACAGAAGACCTATAACGGTAGAACGTTACTATTTGAGACTTAGTTGGTATCCAGCAGCTGTATTGAACATTGTTAACACCGTTACCCTGCATATTTTCAGGAATGTATGAAGCTAGATCTAAATAAATAGACTTTTTTCTTTGTGTTAGTAAATGAGACATTTTCTTCTGCCCCCTTCAGATTAGTTCTTTTGGAGATTAAACACTTGGAGAGGAAAATGACATCGATTATCAAGTTAACTACGCTTTCAGGGGTGCAGGAGGAATCTGCCCTTTGTTATCTGTTGCAAGTAGATGAATTTCGTTTTCTTTTGGACTGTGGCTGGGATGAAAACTTTTCTATGGATATTATTGATTCTCTGAGGAAGTAAGTAGTTCAGTTCATACACCTTTTTTTTTTTTAATAGGCCTTGTCCTGTCTTGAAAGTTTCCAAAATTCCATGCAATAATATGTGTATGTGGTGTTAAATCCAAAATTGTTCTTTTATTTTTTGTTTGGCGTGTGTTTTATGTGAAAGGAATCACACTGCTGAAGCCTTTCCAGTAAAAACTTGGGATTTTTTTCTTGTCGGTCCAATTAGTTACATCTATTAACTGTAATTCTTAAGCTGTCCTGTGCTTGTTTTGGCTTGGATGTTTTGGTTTTTTTCATAAATGTGACACAGCAGAGTTTATGGGAGACTGACCTTGTCTCTAAACTGATTTAGAATGCTTAACTAAGTTTTAAATGGAAGAAGCCGAAACATGTGTCGACTGAATACACAGTGGTTCTACTCTTGCCTTTTGTTTCAAGTTGAACAGACTGTCAGTCAGGAAAACAGCTTCTGTCAGTTCTCCAGCCCTGCAAAGGGAATAAAACAGCCGACAAACGAAAACCTATCTAGACTTTAGTACTGAACTTCTGCAGATGTACAGCAAGGAGCTTTGCTGATTACCAAGTTAGAATTGAAACTAAAAACTAAGCTTTATGATGCTAGTTTTATAGATTCACTTTTCTAGCGTTCACAGTCTTGCAGTGTTTGAAGCCTATTAATGGAGGATTATTAGGTGCTAAGGATAATTTATAAAATTTTTTGATTATCTGAGAAGCAATTAGATAAAATTCACTTTTTCATAACAGCCATCGAGAAGAATGTATGTGCCCGAGTTCCTATACAAGGGAACAAAAAGCTTTCAACCCAAGTTGTATTTTCATTTGTTACATATGTTTTATGCCCTCAAGTTTTTCAATTATGAAATGCAGAAAGTTATAAATCTGAGTCCTTATTTTATGCAACACTTTGCAAGAGAAAAAGAATCTGTTTTTAAAATTAATAAAATCCCCCCAAATGATATGCCACTTTTCTTAAATGATATATTTGACCTTTTCTTTTTTTTAAAGAAATAGATTTTCGTTCGATCCTTATCAATTTAAGAATTGTTGTGTCTTTGGTTCTTTTAGTTGATCTTTCTTATCAGAAGATAAGTTGTGGTCTGTTTTTAGATGTATAAACCATTTGTAGCACATCTGCGCTGATAATATTTTTGGTCTCTCAGTAAATTTACTTTCTAGTGTCCACATATATATTACGGTCTTTTTAATCAGGAATTTGATGTGAAACTTAGATCTTTCAGACTTCAAAGTTATGCTTTCAAAAGTCACTTGCATTTTTAAGTACTCGAACGTTAGGAAATAACTGTTACTTTTAATTATGATTTTTAAAGCTTTTTCAAGCCTTGAAGGGTTTCAGTTTTGTTGTTTGGCATTCAGACTGTGTATGTATTCTCTAAATAGCTCTAATAGGAGGTATATAACACCATATGGAAATCTTTTCAATGGCTTTTGTTGTCCCTTTCTTTATAGGCATGTACACCAGGTTGATGCTGTTCTTCTTTCTCATCCCGACCCTCTACACCTTGGTGCACTTCCATATGCAGTTGGAAAAATGGGCTTGAATTGTGCCATTTATGCAACTATTCCTGTATATAAAATGGGACAGATGTTTATGTATGATCTCTACCAGGTACATTTAAGTTGATACTTTCATACAGAACACCTTTGATACAGTGGAGTGTTTGAATGCTCTGTACCTCTTTTTTTATTTTAGTCCCGCCATAATACTGAAGATTTCACACTCTTTACATTGGATGATGTAGATGCAGCCTTTGATAAGATACAACAGCTGAAGTTTTCTCAGATTGTGAATTTGAAAGGTAAAGTTGTCACCAAAGCCTCAAGAAATTACTTTTATTTAAAGGCAACAGAGTCGTTAAGAGTTAAAGTAACATTTTTAAAGGCAGTAAATTCTGCATTATGTGTCTTGCAGTGCTGATTGAATTAGCCCTATGTCGGGGCAGCAGAATGTTTGCCTCAGTAATTATATGTAGAAATGGGTAGGATTTTCACTTAATGTGGAGGAGGTCCTGTCAAAGAGTGTTGGGAGACATTTGTTTCTCTTTTGTGTTTTTGTAACTTTTCTTGGAATTTGCTCCTGTCTGTTAAAAGCATTTACTTATGTCTAGTGGTAGATACCTCAGAACTTTTCATAATCAGTAACACAAAGGAAAGCTTTCTGGAGCAGGGATATGTTGCAGAGATGAAGTTACAGCATGTGGTTGATTTAATGAGGAGTCTTCACTGACTCAACTGTACTCAGTGTAGTTGATTCCTAGGAACTGTGGCAGCTGGAGACTCAGCAGCTTTTCACTCTTATTGAATGTAAAGGTCAGAATGAAATGGAAACCCTCTTCTTGAACAGGGACACATACAGGCTGACCACCAGCACTTTGTCTCTGAAATGCAGTATCTCACAGTTCATGGAATGGTGCTTGCCAAAATACTTACGTTGTTCTTTGAAAAATAGAAATAAGATATTATCCTTGAAACAGTACTGGCCTCTTTTCAAGATATTTGTAGCAAAGCTTTGTCTATGCTGCCAGTTTTTACATCTAAAGAGTAATTTTAGTGTCTAACTTTTTTTTAAGCAATTAACTTTTTTCATGTTTAATGGAGATGATTTGAAAAGACTCAGTGGAGGTATTTGAGAAGATTATGTTTAATTATTAACTATTACTGTGCACTTCATGCAGCAGTCAGTGAGTAATGGTCATGGGTGGT